GTAAGATCCCAGGATAGGGAAATAAAAGGATAATTGTCCTTGTCTAATCAACAGAAATTGACAAGAACAACCGAAAAAACAATCTGACAAGAAAGGGAACCACTTAGGACAGGGGCACTGTCAAATGAAAACATCTCTATAACCATGTACCCAGTATCTAAAATAAAATCTAAAAAATGAAAAGAGGACTGGAGATTTTAGTAAGACATTTTGACAAAGCTACTGTTAAAAATAATCTTTAAAATAAAGTATCAGTGGTCTGTGTTCCCTCTCTCCTTATGGCCCATGCTGTCCATTTTCTCCCATATATTTACTGTCTCTCACCATATCACTTATCCTTCTGTGTATCTGAATGCCCAGCTGAAGACCATAACAGTTTTGTGTCCTAGCCTGGACAAGAATATGTAATGTATAGTCAGTTATCCCTTGGTATCCTGGGGGACTGGTTCCAAGAACCTCTTTAGATACCCAAAGATGCTCAAGTCCCTTACATAAAATGGTATAGTATTCATAGGTAACCTATACAGAGCCTCTCATATACTTTATTTTTTATTTTATTTTTTGAAACAAAGTCTTGCTCTGTCGCCCAGGCTGGAGTGCAATGATATAATCCTGGCCTACTGCAACCTCTACCTCTTGGGTTCATGCGATTCTCGGGTCTCAGCCTCTTGTATACTTTAAATCATCTCTAGATTACTTATAATACCTAATACAATGTTAATACTATGTAAATAGTTTTATACAATTGTTTTAAAATTTATATTATTTTTTATTGTCATACTGTTCTATTTTATTGGATCCCCCCACCCTGAATACTTTCAATCTGTAGTTGGTTGAATACAGGGCTGTTGGAACCTACAGATACAGAAGGTTGACTATACAGGCACATAGACGTGATGGGCTTAAAAAAGCGATCCTCAGCCAGGTGCAGTGGCTCATGAGGTCAGGAGTTCAAGACCAGCCTGACCAACATGGTGAAATCCAGTCCCTACTAAAAATACAAAAATTAGCTGGGCATGGTGGCATGCACCTGTAGTCCCAGCTACTCAGGAGGCTGAGGCAGGAGAATTGCTTGAACCATCTCAGAAGAGGAAAAAAAAAATCCCTCTTTTTCCTTCAGTAGTAGACTGTCATTTTCGTTTTGGATAAGAAGAGAGGTGCAACTAGTGAAAGGTAAGGTGAAAAACGTGAAGAAATTAAGAAGACAATGAAAAGGAGAATATCTGGCATCTCGGAGGCTTTGCCACACCCAAAGACATGGAGTGTGGGTGAGGGTGGCATCCAAGATGTGAAGGGGAGTACTTTGTGAACCTTTTTCAAACAAACACCCTAAAAGTTAATAATTCTAAAATGAACAATCACTACCAGTTTTACATCCTTCCAACTTCTATACCCCATTGTTCTTCTCTTAATTACAGGCAATCCTTAAGATTCTATTGCTTTCATTTGTTCACTCTTCTCTACTTCAAAGAGGTCGTTAACTGTTACTTACACCTTTTCCCTGTGAGGAAGTCTCCTTTCACCCTTGCTATAGTTTTTGCTACCGCTAAGTCCACACTTTTTATGGGGACAGACTATGAGCACTTCTATGGGGCTGTCTTAACCAGTTCAAAATGGTTTATTTTTCAATACCAACCATTACTACCTACTTCCAATCACTTTGTCTATCCATGGCAATGAGTGATAAGAAAATGGCGTCAGTGAGGGTGAATACAAACCACAGTGAAAGAATGGAAAAAATGGTGGCATTCTGGAGGACAGAAACAGCAAAGCAACAGCACTTCTCAGGATCAGAGTGTATGTGTTCTTGAAGGCAGAGAAGGAGTATAGAAGAGATTGAAATTGAAAAATAAGGTGACATTTACTTACTAAACATGTGTACCAAGCTTGAAAGTAGGGGAATAATTAAGGGAACAAAAAGGTCCATGATGAAGTGGGATAGCTCTGGAGAAGTGAGAGGGAAATGGAAAAAAAAAAAAAAAAAAAGGATAAAAGACTGTTACCGCAGACACATGGTTAAAAACAAAATGGCAAGGAATTTCAGAAAGCTTTAGAAAAAAATGACGTGTGATAAAAATTCCTTCAGCCAACTGAAGATGTCGTGAAGATTATTCATTAAAAAGCCACATAGTAGTTTATTAGGGAAAACTACAGATGTTTTGATGGTGCATCAGTCATTACGTGTTCCATAATCAAACATTTTAATGCACAATTTAAACAAAAGCAAAATAAGTTTAAAAATAGATATCAATCAACCAAAATTTAACAAAACTCATTTAACCAAATTTTGCTGCATTGTTGTTTTATACTGCAAACCACAGAAGAAAAATTCTTATGAAAAGACAAAATGAATAAACTCAAATATGCCTGATAAAGCAATCCTTTTCACTGGAAAAAAGAAACCTACATCTAGTTGGTAAAACCTGATATTTCCCTTGAAAGTTTCTATTCTTCCAAGTGCAAGATCCCAAAATTCATTGATAAGATGGGACAGGCAAGAACTTTCTTAGTTTTCTGAGGGGGTAGGTGGGTGGTGGTGGTAATGTGTTTGTACAAACTGTTGTATGAAAGCTGAGGACAACTTTGAGAGCAGCAATCAATGTGGGAACCAGAAGGAAGAAATCAATCTCTCTATTGACTAGATCTCCTCTTACAGTGATGTAATAAAATACCTAGCAGTCATCAGATAAAAGGGAATTTTCCTCCTTTATTAGCTTTGAAAGAGCTCACCCTGCAGATCCCCAAAAAGGAGTCACTAAAATAGGCAGACATTGTTTTTGTTCTACAAGAAGTCTGACTGCCTCATGTGTATACTAGACCTCTTATGTACATTTAATAATTTCCAGTGGTTGTCTATATAGTTAAAAGTGCTATTTCTCTCTGTTCACAAAAAGGTTTAAATGACTTAATAATGGAGGGCCCCATTACATTTATGCATTATTTTGAGCAGCAATTCAAATGCTAGGATTCTTTTTTTTTTTTTTTTTTTTTGAGATGGAGTTTCACTCTGCCACCCAGGCTGGGGTGCAATGGCACAACCTCTGCCTCCTGGGTTCAAGCGATTCTCTTGCCTGAGTAGCTGGGATTACAGGCACCCACCACCATGCCTGGCTAATTTTTGTATTTTTAGTAGAGACGGGGTGTCACCATGTTGGCAAGGCTGGTCTCAAACTCCTCACCTCATGTGATCTTCCCACCCTGGCATCCCAAAGTGCTGGGATTAGAGGCATAAGCCACTGTGCCCAGCCCAGAACTCTATTCTTAATGAAGTGCAATAAATAAGGCATTACTGAGTTTTTCAAATCTTATTTTAAAAATAAACTTATTGGGCATTTAAAAATAATACTGCTAATATTTTGATTCTGGGGGAACCAGTCTAGATTTTTCTATGTTTATTTATTTTATATCTCCTATTGTGGTCTACTTTTCAGCTTTGCCATTTTTTCTTTTCTGGAGTCAATTCATTTTTATAATTAAAATTTTGAAGATGTATATGTCCTTTAATCCAACAATCTCATTTATTTAAATGTGGAAACTCAGGTAGGAATAGTGTGTTGGCCAAGGTCTACAACTATGTTAGAGGGAACTAGGCTTTAGTTCTGACTTACTCTTTGCTCCTGCAATGTTGCATTTATTTATTGTCTTGGTTATATATCATATACCACCAGTGTTCTGGGCTTCTGGAAATATATTTGTCCAAACTACATGCAGAACTTTCATTCAAGATATTAGTTTTTGATTGTTTGTTCCTATACCACTCTAAATTTTTGCAAGTAGAGTATGTCCAAAGCAGCAAGATGGACCAAATAATCTCAGGGAATACAAATTCTTATAAAAAATGGATAATTTAGAGCCTAAAATCTTGAATACAATCACTCATTATTTGTCATTACTACTGCAGTTACCTGAACTAAATCCTTCCTGCCCCCTTTTAGTCCACTTATAAATTTTCCCAAGCTCTCCCTGTGGTGTGTCTCCACTGGCCTACATGGCATTTCATTGCCAAGAAGAGTATACCTGATTACATAGAAATTTTTCTCTTCCAGATTATTTAGAAAGTACTGAAGAATAATTCTGACATCTATTCTGTTGATGCGTTCTACATATTATCAAGTATTCCTATTCCATGCATATTTATCATGGCTATTGTAAATAATAATAAGTCTAAAAACCAACAAGACCCATCTCAGAGTTCATAGTAATTTGAGAATAACCTTGGAAGATACAGGAGTACCTCAGAGATACTATAAGTTTGGTTCTAGACCATTGCAATAAAGTGAGTCATGCAAATGTTTTGGTTTTCCACTGCATGTAACTGATAAATTTACCCTATACTACAGTCTATTAACTGGGTAATAAGCATTACATCTAAAAAAGTAACAACACACATATCTTAATTTAAAAATTCTTTATTGCTAAAAAAAAATCCTAACGATCACCTGAGCCTCCTGCGAGTCATCTTTTGTGGGTAGGGGGTCTTATAGCTCGATGTTGATGGCTGCTGATTGACCACAGTGGTGGTTGCTGAAGGTTAGGATGGCTGTGGCAATTTCTTAAAACACCATGAAGTTTGTCGCATTGATTTACTCTTCCTTTCACGAAAGATTTCTCTGTAGCATTTAAAGCTGTTTGACAGCATTTTACCCTGGTAGAACTTCTTTCAAAATTGGAGTCAATCCTCTCAAACCCTGCTGCTGCTTTCAATTAAGATTATAGAATATTCTAAATCCTTTGTTGTCATTTCAACATAGCAGCTTCACCAGGAGCGGATTCCTTCTCAAGAAACCACTTTTTTGGCTCATCCATAAGTAGTAACTCCTTATCCATTTATGTTTTATCGTTAAGACTGCAGCAAATCAGTCATTTTTCAGGCTTCACTTTTAATTCTAGTTCTCTTACTATTTCTACCACATCTGCAGTGACTTCCTCCACTGAAGTCTTGAGACCCTCAAAGTTATCCATGAGGCTTGGGATTAACTACTTCTAAAATCCTGTTAATGTTTGATATCTGCACATCTTTGACAAATCACAAATGTTCCTAATGACACCTAAAATTGTGACTCCTTTCCAGGTTTTCAGTTTACTTTTCCCAAATCCATCAGAGGAATCACTATCTAATGGCAGTTACAGTCTTATGAAATGCATTTCTTAAATAACAGGACATAAAAGTAAAACTTATTCCTTGATCCATGGGCTGCATAATGGATGTTGAGTGGGCATGAAAACAACATTCATCTCCTTGTACATCTCCATCAGAGCTCACGGATGACTAAGTACATTGTCAATAAGCAGTCATATTTTGAATCTTCTTTTCCTGAGCAGTAGGTCTCAACAGTGGGCTTCAAATATTCAGTAAACCACGCTGTAAACAGATGTGCTATCATGCAGGCTTTTTTCTTCCATTTATAGAGCACAAGTAGATTTAGGATAATTCTTAAGGACCCCAGGATTTTTGGAATGGTAAAGACGCACTGTCTTCCACTTAAAATCACCAGCTGTACTACCCCATAACAAGAGAGTCAACCTATTCTTTGAAGCTTTGAAGTCAGGCCACTGACTTTTCCTCTCTAGGAAGATTCTAGATGGCATCTCCTTCCAATAGAAGGCTGTTCTGTCTCCACTGAATATCTGTTGGTTAGAGTAGTTATGTTCATCAATGATCTTGGCTAGAGGTCTTCTGGATAAAATGCAGCTTCTACATCAGCACTTGCTGCTTCACCTTGCACTTGTATGGTATGGAGATGGCTTCCTTCCTTAAGACCCATGAACCAACCTCTGCTAGTTTTTCCTCTGTAGCTTCCTCAACCTTTCTCAGCCTTCACAGAATTGAGTAACATTAGGACCCTGCTCTGGATTAGGCTTTGCCTTCAGAAAATGTTGTGGCTGTTTTGATCTCTATTTACTTTCTTATTTGTGTGTTTACTGAAGTAGCACTTTTAATTTCCTCTGACAATTTTTCTTTGCATTCACAACTTGGCTAACTGTTTAGCACAAAGGGCCTAGCTTTTGGTCTATCTCGGCTTTTGACATACTTTCCTCACTAAGCTTAATCATTCTAGCTTTTGATTTAAAGTGAGAGTATGTGTGACTCTGCCTTTCACTTGAACACTTAGAGGCCACTGCAGGGTTATTAAATGGCCTAATTTCAATACTGTTGTGTCTCAGGGAACAGGGAGATCCAAGGAGAGGGAGAGAGATGAGGACCGGCTGATTGGTCAGGCAGTTGGAACACATACATTGATCAATTAAGTTCAATACAAACCTCTAAAATGATCACAATAGTAACATCAAAAAGATTACTGATCACAAATCATCATAATGGATGTAATAACAATGAAAAAGCTCCAAATACTGCAAGAATTACCAAATGTGGCACAGAGACACAAAATAAGCATAGGCTGTTGAAAGAATGGCACCAATAGACTTGACCAACACAGAGTTGACACAAAGCTTTTATTTTTTATTTGGAAAAAAAAAAAAAAAAGCACTATCTGTGAAAAGCAATAAAGTGAAGCTCAATAAGGCAATGTATACCTATACTTAATCAATCTCAGATAGTTAAAATACCTATGCAACAATCTTGCATGTTCTTCATATGTACCCCAAAACCTAAAATGCAACAAAATAAATTAAAAAAAAAATACTACATTCACTTCAGATGTGTGTGAGGATAAGGCAAGCCAGAAGAAAATGCCTAGGACACAGGCAGATAAATATATGAGCTGACCATATTTATGTCTATCATTATTTTATAATAGGAAAGTAGGTTTAAAAATCATTGTTACAAATATGGAATCTACTAATTATCATAAATAATGAATTATAATAGATTTTATAAATAAGTAGCCTACTGCTTTCAAATGAAATAAATATAAACCTTTGATAAGCTAGGATTCTAGAATACTTGCTTTTGTTGCCCTGTCTCCAACTCATTTTCAATTCCATGTTTTCATCAATTCCTATACTATAACACATTCCTATACTCTTTCAAAAAATATTTTCTAATTTTTTATATATCAATCTTCCTTTTACTGTTCTTTTCTTTTTCTTTTTCTTTTTTTTTTTTTTTTAAGACAGAGTCTCACTTTGCTGACCAGGCTGGAGTGCAGTGGCACAATCTCAGCTCACTGCAATCTCTGCCTCCCAGGTTCAACTGATTCTCCTGCCTCAGCCTCCCGAGTAGCTGGGACTACAGGCATGTGCCACCACACCTGGCTAATTTTTGTATTTTTTAGTAGAAACGGGGTTTCACCATATTGGACAGGCTGGTCTCAAACTCCTGACTTCATGATCTGCTCGCCTAGGCCTCCTAAAGTGCTGGGATTACAAGCGTGAGCCACTGTGTCCAGCCTGTTCTTTTCTTTACTTGCTTTCTGGAACACTTCTTCTATCTAATCACCTGCTTTCTTCATGTCCAGATACTCGAACCCTTCCATCCCAAAATATTCAGTCTAAGTCTACATATTGCTCACTGGCTGCCTGGCTGCCCCAAATATCCTATTTCAACTCTCAAACAGTTCCGTAGAGTTACAAAATCACCACTTCTGGCCTAGCCAACATGCTGCCACTCGTACTTACCTCCCCACAAAGCTACCATTCTCCCAGATAATGCAGCCAAGTGGTAGAGGAATAGAATGTTCACATTAGCTCATACTAAATGGATAATATATTTACCACCCCCATCCTACCCTATACTCGCAGGAGGACAATGTTTTCTAAAATAATTTCAATTGATAAAATTTCATATAAATTAGGTAAAAAATTGAGATTGGGTATGTGGGATAGAGTTAGGGGGAAACTCACCTTTAAACATACAAAGCAATTGATTCCCTAATATATTCCTGTCTTGGAATAGGCAACAAATTAGTTAATAAGAAAATACTGATCCCTATTGGGCTTTCCTGATTCTACTTGCTTCCTAAGGTCTGATTCAGCTAGGGCTGAATTTGAAATTCTAATGACAGAAAGAAACAGAAGGAAGGGGGTGTGCCAAAGGTTTATTCCAATTTCCAACATCTGAATACAGATAAAATTGTCAGTTACGGGGTTCTGAAACACTGAAGCTTCAGTACTGGAAAAATGAGAGAGGTCTGATATTCTCCTGAGTTACGGATTTAGGCAATCAGAAAGATCTCAAAGTTATCCGTATCATACCTGCTCCTCTCTCTCTCCTTCCTCTATCTGAATAAGGAAATACTTCTTGTGATTGTATTAGGTATTGATCGACTTACCACCTATGCAACTTACGACCATTCAACTTTACGACCACAATCGTTAGCCATGACTGCTCTGCGTCTGGCAGCGCAAACGTTGCCCAGCTGGGCGTACGACAGTGCGGACCAGCTTCCGGCAGCACTACCATCTCCGCGTGCACCATTTCAACTGTACATATAGCCTACTCAACTTACGACCAAATCGTGTTACGGCCGGTCCGCGGTCCCGACTGTGGTCGTAAGTCGAGCACTAGCTGTAATACTAATTATTGTTTATGGCTAATTACTCCTTGGTACAGTAACAAACATCAAATTGCAGTTAGCTTTGTTGTAAGCTTTACCTTAATAAAACACTATGTTTTACTCAAGTGTTTAATCTTTATAGTACTGTACATAGGGGCAGGTTTACTTTACTACAGCTAGTGCTCTACTTACGGCCACGGTCGGGACCGCGGACCGGCCGTAACACGATTTGGTCGTAAGTTGAGTAGGCTATATGTACAGTTGAAATGGTGCACGCGGAGATGGTAGTGCTGCCGGAAGCTGGTCCGCACTGTCGTACGCCCAGCTGGGCAACGTTTGCGCTGCCAGACGCAGAGCAGTCATGGCTAGCGATTGTGGTCGTAAAGTTGAATGGTCGTAAGTTGCATAGGTGGTAAGTCGATCAATACCTGTAATTAAAACAATAGTAGTAACAACCAGAGGGAACATTAGAAATGCCCAATATATACTGGTTGCATAAATCAATAAACGCTATGTTTATTTAATGTGGTACATGACACTCAAACATTCATTGAGCACCTACGGTATGTAGATCTTTATTTAGGGGAAGTAGTGCTGCAGGCATCACTGACAATTTATTATGAGGAAGGAGGAGGGCTTTATGCTGCCTGTAGAAGAACCTCACTAACACTCCTTACCCTCCATCCGGGCCCCCACAATGTTTCTATCTCTAGATTTCCTCTAGCTATGCAACCAACTGTAAGACTGATTCTCCTCCTTCAACCCCTTGGATTACCCAGTTTTATTCTGGTCATCCATTAATTACTACTAACTATTACGTGCTTTAAAGTTGCATCTGTACAACAGTTACAGCTGCCTTAGAGAACAAGATCACCATTTGGAAACACTGCTCCAAAATCAGAATATAGAGTATCAAATAGAATGACATCAAGGCTGGGCACAGTGGCTCAAGCCTGTAATCCCAGCACTTTGGGAGGCCAAGGCAGGCTGATCACCTGAGGTCAGCAGTTTAAAATCAGCCTGGCAAACATGGCGAAACTCTGTCTCTACTAAAAATACAAAAATTAGCCAGGCATGCTGGTGGGCACCTGTAACCCCAGCTACTCAGGAGGCTGAGGCACTAGAATCACTTTACCCAGGGAGGTAGAGTGCAGAGCTGAGATCAGGCCACTGCACTCCAGCCTAAGTGACAAAGTGAGACTCAATCTAAAACAAAACAAAACAAAAAAAAACCCTCTTCCCTGGACATTTGTGTCTTTACATAGAAACACTGTTCAAAAATAGTAACAATGGTGATTTACAAAGACAGGGAGAAAGTACTACTTTGTGATCACAGCCCAGTTTCAGAATGGGTGCTAAGACAGAGCATTTTAACATTTTTTTAAAGAGGAGCCATATCTCAAAATGATAGCACTTTGAATAATACAATTAGTATGTGTAAGTACACTCTATGACATCTGCACAAGGACAAAAATTGCCTAATGATACATTTCTCAGAATATATATGCATCATTAAACAATACATAACTATGTTTACAGGGTCTACTTTTTCACTGATACTCACAGAATCACATAAGCACTATGATAACCACAGAGACTGCACACTGTGTCTATACACATTACATCCCAATATAAATGAATCTCTAAACCCTCAAAAACATAAATGTTCAAGACACACATCACATTTATATCTAATGTGCTGGGCAAACTATTTTAAAATACAAAAAATAAAAGAGTCTTCATTCTTTTTTCTTTTTTTAAAGAAAGACTTGTAAATATGATACATATGAATAAAGGAAATACATTTCTTTCTTGGTCATAGAAAGCTCTACATCTCCCTTTTTTGTTTTCTAGCCTGAGTATGCTTACTTATCAATCATTATATCACTATTTCTTGTGTTTTTTTTTTTGTAATGAATTGGTATACTTCTTATGCTCAGTATAAGAAGAAAGTCATGTAATCAGAGGCAGGGTGATTGAATGAATCACTTAGGTCTTAATCAGGAAGAAAAGAAAAATTGAACACAGAAATGGTTAAGAAAAAGTGAATACCCTAAGGACTCCCAGAAACCACCAATGCACAGTTAGTTTTCCTTTCAATATTTTCTCAACAGCAGCAACGGTACCAAGTCTCAGAGGGGATGGAAATTTCCTTCCTTGTCTCTATCATTTGTGTAAGTTCTTAGAAAGGGTTTACAGGACTCTAGTTTTACTCCTGTTTGGTAGACAACTGCATTTATACAAATAGAGCCACCAATTCATTTCCAGGTTTAAAAAATTGATACAAACTCTAGGGAAGCCAAGAAATGCTACTATTTTAAATTTCAGATCCAAACCTACAGGTTAAATGGTACATCAGTCCAATTAGTGATAAACTTTACTCACTGAATTCTCTGTGACTTCTCATGTGTCAACATTATATTCTGCTAAAAATTAAAGAAGTTATGCTTATTGGAAAACTTTTAGGTGCCAGTCTTTTGTTCAAAACCATATAAGTAGTGGCCAGCAAATTAGAAAGAATAATCTTTTCACCTCCATAAGTACTTAATATGTCCATTTTTGTCTTCCACAGATTTCAATTAATGGAACTTCATTTCACACCCAGTGTGTAGCTTTCCTAGAACTGGTGAAAGTGCTAAGTATTTGGAGTTACCTTGAGTGGTGAAGTTGAAGAGTGCAGGTGTGTCTCGCCCATTTGGTAGTTTGACATTTGGGTCCCGTAATTCATCAAAAAATGAATGTGCACAAGCTTCCAGTGGTGTCAATCGGGCTGTTGGTGTATACTCCAGCAGACGGCTACACAGGGCAATCGCCTCCGGTGGAGTTCGAGGTCTGAAGACCTGCAGTACAAAAAAAGGGAAGGAATAATTAATGTTTTATGAATCTAGGCAAGTACCCTGTGAGTAATGACTTAATTCCTACCATGTACAGCAACATGGTTGCATTTGGGAAAAGACCTTCTAGAACGGAAAGAGTTAAATGCATACGCTTCACAGTGGTGAACTGCTAATTAAGACTATATGAGAAATGCTCAGAGAAAAAATCTATATATGCTAATCATAAATCAATACAATCAGACATGCATACGAAATATGACAGGCACATGGGAAAAGCTGCATTCTGGAGGCAAGCACAACTAGAAAAACATTTTTAAAATTTTAAAGTTTTCACTGCTATGGCAGTAAATAAAAGACTGCCTCTTTTGCATTTTTTTTTTTTTTAAGCAGAACAACTATCAATGATGGGCAGCATTGTTAAAAAATTTGGCAATCAATATCTTAAAAGAAAAGAAAGAGCTATTTACTCTATGTCTATAAATGCTACTGATTTGGTATTATCTCCAATAAACAGAGCCTATCATTATTTGAAGAAATTCTTGAAAAACTAGAATTTGGTAAAATGTCCTATATTTTTTTCTCAAGTAGCTGTTACCATCAATGTGGCCAGATTTCCCTCATTTGAATAAATATTCCAGGGTTTTAATCAAGGAGAGAAAAATATATTATTCATTAAGAATGATTAAGACATGGAAAAAGTCAACTGAAGGCTATATTGAAGGAAAGTTCAATTAAATTAATATACTTAAAGGCTGGCTTTCTACTTATTTGCGTCTTAAATAAAACAAAACTAATCAATAAAAAAAC